CTGTCTATAGAGAGTTATCACTCAAAGGCAGTGCCACAAATCTTACTTACAAAGCTTCTTCCACAATTCTGGGATTTTAAAATAAACATAGTTTGTATCAGTTATCAGCATTTTTTAGCAAGTTACTTGAGAAAGCAATATAAACCCTGTAATAGGACATCGATATTTAAGCACAGACAAGCTTTTTTAATGAGTAAAATGGGTGAATATAATTTTTACTCATCTATGAAAATGATAATAGAACAAATAGAACGCATATTTTGAGAATTTATTTATGTGCCGTAAGACATGCACTTATCATCATCCAGGGCTATCATTCACACTCGTGGGCATTTATATAAAGATTCATGCAAGCTTTGGTATTACTAATAAGGTTGGAAACAATTTTAACAATAGGGGATTAAACACTGGTCACTCTATCTGAAAGACTATCATGCATACAGTAACATATCACACCTATAAAAGTTATGTAAGGATAACAACAAAATGTGTATGTTATAGTAAGTTATAAATACTTTATGAAACAAAATATCTGTTTTGACCCCAATTTTGTTTGACTATTTAAAAACGTGGTAAAATCGCTTCTCGGCCTTTTGGCTAAGATCAAGTGTAGTATTTGTTCTTATCAGTTTAAAAACGTGGTAAAATAGCCGGGACTGGTTTGGCTCAGTGGATAGAGCGTCGGCTTGGGGACTGAAGGGTCCCAGGTTCGATTCCGGTCAAGGGCATGTACCTTGGTTGCGGGCATATCCCCAGTAGGGGGTGTGCAAGAGGCAGCTGATGGATGACTCTCTCTCATCGATGTTTCTAACCCTCTATCTCTCTCCCTTCCTCTCTGTATAAAATCAATAAAATATATTAAAAAACAAAACAAAACAAAACAAAAAAAAAACGTGGTAAAATAAATAAATAAATAAATAAAATAAAAATGTGGTAAAACTATGTGTCACAAAGCAGGCAATGGCTATCTCTGAGAAGTGATTGAAATGATTATGAATACCTTTTTTTTCTTTGTAATTAATGTTCCTTTTTTAAAGCACAAATATGTTGTTTTTATAGTAATTAAATATCCTTTGTTTTTGTTTTTGTAGGAAGTGAGGTTGTGTGAGAAAATCAAGTTGTCAGCCTATTTTTTTCTGAAAGTTGGTGGGGGAAAAATAGAACCAAAATTTGAAAAGACAGATAGTTTGAGCAGCATTTTTTTTTTTTTTTTTAAATTTTGTTTTACTTTAAGGATTAGAGAAATGGAGGAGAAGCTGGTAAAGAGAGGATCCAGGAAAATAAAATCTTACCAAAAGGATATCCTGAATGTATTTTCCCACTTAACAAAATGTGCAGTACAGCTAAGAATACCAAGGAGAAATCTTAGAAAGAGAAGGGGGAAAAAACCTACAAGATGACATTTTTATAGCATTTGCAACAGAAAAACTGTTAACATATTACAAAGTGTGAAAAACGTGGGCTTTGGCATCAAACAGACCTGGATTTAAGTCATGGTGCCTTTATTTAGCAGCCATTTGACCCTGGGCAAGTTGCTAAAGTGAGTCAGCTCCTGAGTGTAGTGCGATGCAAACCACCATCTAGGGCAGCGATCTGTGTGAAAGTGGCTGTTGGGGTACCTGTGAGCCCAGGACCCCACCACCAGACTGTGACTCAGGAGGTCTGAGAGTGGTCCTGGGCGGGTCTACTACATGGGTAGGGGAAAGAAACATGTGAACAACTCAATGCCTGGCATAGGTAGGTACTTGGTAAATGTTAGATGGTTGCTTTTATGTACAGAATATAGGGCTTCTATCATTTTTCATTAAGGCTATCACAACTTTAAAAAAAATTAAATCAATGACAAGATCTGTCTTAAAGTGAGTATCTAAGACTTTTTTGCTATGAGAGAAGGCAGAGAATGAACTAAAATGAGAACAAAGAAAAACCAATATAAATGCCATTTATTATCTAAAGCTGTATTATGGCATTCAAAAATTCAACATGAGTGACTCCAAAGAGATCTTTGACAGATGGTCTGGCATAATTTTGCTGAAGTAAATTTGATTCATTTTTGCTTCATAATGCGTAGAACCAAGTCTTTTTAGTTGATCTGTATGCTTTCCCCACTTATCAGTATCCAAATTTCACTTAGCTTTTGTTGTATTCTATTCATCACCATAAACAGAGAAAAGGTTCATTCTTTGCAAAATTGGCCCCGAGGAGGGTCAACTGCTATGCTACAAAGATATCTGCAAATTTGGGGAAATGTAGAACGGTATCCAAAAATATTCTAGCAAATGTCAAAAATATACTGTACAATTACATTTTTTAACATAAGGAAAAGATCTTATCCTATTTCATAAATAGTCTCCAGCAATAAAAAGTCACATGAAAAGGTCAGAGTACATGGCATTTAGTGCACCCAATATTTTAGTAATAGTTTGTCTGTCTTTCTTCCTGGCCTCCTAGAACATGCTGGCTGTTAGAAAGGATCTTTGAAATGCAATCCTGGAGGGGGAGGAAGGGGACACAGCAACTAAGATAAGTACAACCGAGCCACAGAGAGTGGTGGCTGCTGGCCATCTTTACTCCCCACGGTATAGCCGCTATAGGCAAGACACAGACTGGATTATCAGTAGATAGTTATGTACAAAGCAAAAAGTTCAAGAAATTAAATAATCTAACCGTGCTGCTAAAGACTGAGCTGTCTATGTTCAGTATACTACGTACCCTTCTTAGGTAATCACCAACTTTCTCGGAGCAGAAAGAATTTGCATTTTTTTCTTATCCATTGCTTCCTTACTAGACTTTTTATCCTTAACTTCTTAATGTCATAAACCTCTCATTTCCCATTTGTGCTGACTATTGGATGTCAGCAACACTGAATTCAGTTATATGTGTGAGCAATAAAGAAGTTACTTAATGGTAATTGGTTTTAGTATGTGGTCTCCAGGATTTCATTAGTGTATTTATTTATAATGGTCATTTGTTTTAACAGCAGCTTCTTTTTAGAATTTTTATTGAATTTATTGGGGTGACATTGGTTAATAAAGTTATATAGTTTTAGGTGTACAATTCTATTTCAAATTATCAGAAGCAGAACTCAGGGGCGTAAAGACCAGAAAATTGTGCTGGGCCCTTTCTGAGTCAGATTCCTTTTCTAAAAGGATACTCGGGCCTAGGTGACCTCTAAGATCCCTTTCACTCCTGATTTTTTATGAAACTTTTTCTGTTTACTGACACCAGCCCTTCCCAAACCCCTGCCTAAAGCAGAGCTGCCCTCACTCTCCACCTGACACCTCCTTAGGTTGTGCCAGCTCCCCTTGTCATTTCAGGCAGCATCATAATCACCTCCCTTGTGAACACCATCCCTCTATGATCTTACTTATGACCACTTAGGCTTTTTTTTCCTTTTTAAAAATATTTTCTTGAAGAAAACCATATTACTATTATTACAAAGGTGCTTTATTAACACAATCATGCTACAAATATGAAAAAAGAAGAAAGAAGAAAGGAGGAGGAGGAGGAGGAGGAGGAGGAGGATCACTGCTTTATGTCTCTGGAGGAGGAGGAGCAGCATCATCACTGCTTTAGTGTCTCTGTGCCTCCCATGCCTGTCATGGGAACACAGAGCTGCATCTCCATGAGTTCTATGAGTGGACGGACACTTGCTCTTCATACACAATACAACTGTCAAGCCCACACATCCATTTCATACTATCTATAAACACAGAATCCAGAAAGCAAGACAAACTAACAGGGTCCACATTTTCAGTTTTTACTGTAATTTCAGATTGACTGTATACTTCTTTAAAACCATGGGTACTTAGCTGTAAAGATGCCTCATTTGGCAGGGTGCATTAACTGAGCTTAGACTTAATATATTAAAGCACATTAAATCGTAATGAAACAACAATGTCATTTAAGAAAAGAACACAGAACTTTATACTTACATATACTTACATAATGTTTCAAGGCCTTTCATGTTAGAAATAAGCAGTTTTGTGACAAGGAAGCAATTGCCAGATTAAAGTGATAATTTGTCATAGATGTCACCATTATAAAATATAGTTTGCCAGAAATTAGAGTGGAAAACAGAAACATGCAAACAAGATTTTTCTTCTGCTAGGTGACTCTGGACTTTGAATTGTTTTTGTAAAATTAATTAACACTTCAGCGTGTTTTTGGATAGTTCCTTTTACGAACACATTAATATAAACATACAAATCTACAGCTATAGTAAAATATACAATTAGTCTTTGACATAAAAACATCAAAAACTCAAGCATTTAAATGGGTGTTGGGTACAGTATCATCAATGGAATAACTTTGTCCCTTCAACACAGCGATCGCCAACCTTTTGGACCACTGGTTGGTGACCGCTGCTCCAAAGGTTTCCTTAAACCAGCAGTTGCCAACCTTTTGGACCTCACGGACCACCAGTGGCCCGCAGACCACCAATTGGCAACTGCTGCTTCAATAGACAAGGCTCTAGAAGAAACAAGTGTGAGGTAGTAACGTGGGCCACAAACTAGGAAGCAGACGAATGAGGTTCTATCTCTGACCTACAAAACTTTACTAACCACCCTAGATGCCAGTTTTATTTAAATATAAAATGGAAGAAGCATTACTGCCTTTCTACCAACCACAATCATTTGTTGGAGTGGATTAATAAATGTAAAAATATTTTTAAGCTATAAAGAATTATAGTATAAGTATGATACTTTCAAGACAGTTTTGCTGCTTTGAGAATATTTAAAAATGGAATGATAGCTTAACTGTAGATATCATTTTTCTGTCTATTCTAAAAAGGGAGGGGAACATTTTTGTTTTTTTAAAGATATCTTTTATATTTCTAAAGAATATATAATATTTTAATACATGGGCTTAACTTAGTGTAAAAATATAATATCACATTATGGTATCTCTATAAATATAAAGAAGTGCTTTGTAAATTCTAGAAGGAATATGTATATATAAAGGTTAGCAATTTTTGCCACTTTGAAATGGGTACTTACCTTCTCTTAGACGGTCTACTACAAAAGTAAAGCCTGTAGTTCTTGGATGTAAGACATATTCATATTTCTGAAGTCCATTCTTATCAGCAAATTCATTACTTCGGGCCTTGCTGTTTTCTAAACAAAACAATAGACCATTAGAAGCTATAAAATAAAGGGAGATAATCTGAGGTAAGGAAACACTACAGAATTTCTATAATAAAAATGGCAGTTAATTTTTCTGTAATTACTGAGCATAGTATAGTATTCTGAGTCAAATGAGAAGATATAAACACTTTAGTAAATCCCTACAAAAGATCCGAGAATTATTGGAATTCTGAAAAATTTATAAGGTATTAATAACCTTTTTATAATGATTTATAGATTTATCTTTAAAATTCTTTAAGAGATTTCATAAAAGTCTATACTCAGTGAATACTGAAATAAAATCCTAATAAATGAAAATTTTCTTAAGATAGTCTTTAATTAATAAAATTTAAATACTAAAATATAAATGCTAATAAAACAAAGGGATTTAGATATACAGAAGAAATAACTAGCAAACTGCCAAACATATATCAACTTTTTTTCAACCCAATAATTTAGGGCTTTAATGCAAAGTGATATATCTTCCTTGCTCAGAGCATGCTAATATTACTAACCAAAACCACTCCACAACAGATTGGGCACATGATTAGCACATCCTGTACAAACATCTGAACATGGTTTGGCCGAGTACAGTTACAAAGTTAAGTATGTGCTCTAACTGTTGGCAAAAACTTTTTTCCATTCCATGAAATAACTTTATAAGTTCCAAGAAAAACCAAACCCATGATTCAGCAAATATATTTGGAAAAAGTAAAGTGTTCAGAAATCTGGCCTCAACCCCTGGAGGAGATCATGAAATTGCTTCTGATGACAGCAGATGTTAGAACCTGCAATCTTCAGCTACATCCTGAAATGTATAACTATTCCAAGACATAAGAAAAAGGCATAGACATAGACAACTTTCCTGGGAGTAAATTTAAGACCACGGAGTCTCCCATACCTAAGAACACCAGATATGGATTCAAAATATTCAAAGAACACCCCTATAAAAGATATGTTATTGTTTTTTTAAATAAATGAGAAATTGAGACAAATAACTAAATACTCAGTTTCCCAGCAAGTCAAAAGTAAAGGCCTAAACATGAAAAGTAGTAAGCTTCTTTCACATTCATTTGAGGAGAATATCCTGGGCACAGAGTATAAAATACTATTTTATTGACAGCTTACATGGGATGAGGAAGCTCAGGGACACTAAAAGGATGAGTAGTTAACTACTCTTCAGTTTGCTCTTCCAGCTCGTCACAGACTTTAGGGAACTGAAGACCAACTGAATTCTGTTGTAGACTGTTCATACAAATCCAAATACCGTAGTTCTAAAACATCCAATCACAATGTGAGTAGGTAGAAACAATGAGACAGAGAGATTAGAGATGCAGATTTTTCCCTCCATCCCCGCTTCAGCTACCCACACCCAGTCTCTGGGGTTACTGGTAACTGCACAAGCACCCCTCTTTCTTACCACAGCCTCCTGTCCTGTCAGCTCACTCCCTGAAACACTCTAATGCCAGCATTTGCTTCCACTCCAATGGGTGGATTGGCTACTTTACTGTTCTCAAACTAGCCAGGCATGTCCCCACCTCGGGGTCTGTGTATTTGTTCTTCCCTCTACCCAGAATGCCTTCTCCCCAAATGTCTACATGGTTTTCTGGTTTGTTCATTTGGTTTCTATCTAAATCTAACCACTTTTTATAAAAATAGCACACTATGCCCCATTTTCTATCACTCTGTTCTTATCTTTATTTTTCTGCACAACTTCATGAATACCTAACATATTTTTATTAACTTATTATTTTTATATAACTTTCCCTCATAGAATTTAAGCTTCATGTAAGTAGGAACTTTGTTTTGTATATAAAGCTCCAGGCACTCAAATATAAATATAGAAGTTTTATGTACAAGGGTGCTTAATTGCATGTAAGGTTCTATTTGTTAAAACCTAGAAAATCTTTCCAAATCAGAGAAACAACCCAAAATTATGGTATACCAATTGTAATGGATAATTTTATGTGTCAAATTGGCCAAACATTCCAGAGGTTTCTGTGAAGGTATTTTTAATGAGATTAATATTTAAAACAGTAGACTTTCAGTAAAGCAGATTACCCTCTATAATGTGAGTGGACCTCACTTCTCTCTCTTTCTACACACACACACACACACACACACACACACACACACACACACACACACACACACACACACACACACACACACACACCTCCCTCCCTTTTGGTTCTGTTTTTCAGGACAACACTTACTAATCCAATTTAGTAAAGAGCTAATATACTAATTAGAGCCACATTCAAGGGACCAAAAAACCACATGTGGCTCGTGAGCTGCAATTTGCCAACCATGGGACTAGATAATTCCTAAATTCCTTTGTTTTTAAAATTCTGTAATCCAAACCCAGGCTACCTTACCTGTGAGATCAGTCCCTTCTGGGAATATGAGAAGTTGAAGTGGTTCGCGGATATCACAAAAATAATCAAGTATGTCTTCAAAATGGCTCTTGTCATCCTTCCATTTCCTATGAATGAAGATATAGGCAGCAGCTTGCATGGCCCAACCTAGAATCAATTTAACAAGCATTTACATACAATTTTATTGCCAACATCCATATTACTGAATATAATATTTCAGTTTTTGTTTTATTATGATTTACTACAATAATAAGAATATCATACTTTAAACTCAGCACAAATCTTGAGTTAAATTAACACACATACCAGAAAATATTCTTAAAGGAGTTTGTTAAATTCTGGGGTTTACTAAATTCTCAAAAACCTCTTTTCAAGCCAAACCTAGCTATGAAAATATCAAAAAAAAAGAAAAAAACCTTCCCTAATATTATCAGTAACTCAACCAAAATTTTAACAATTATAAAAATTTTAACAATTATTTTAACCAAGCTACCTACAAGAAATATTAGCTTACCGATTGTTCTCAAATCATGTATATGAGCAGACTTTAATATTCTACTTCTGTACTACTCAATCTCTAAATTCAACAGCTATTTTCAATGTTAGCCACTTCTTTAGATTTTATTTAAAAGAGAAAATGTGCAGTAACTATAAACATATTCATCAAACACATACACATTATATCACATTCCCTTTCTCTAGGCAAATCAACCTTGTCACCAAAGAGGCAGCCCTAAAAGAGTTGTGTTTTATCCACCAGCCATCCCTCCCTGGCCAGAAATTACTAGAAATACTGTGGTAAATACCTAACTGAAGTCAGCCAATCTAAAGTCTATTCAACAGTCTATGGAACATGAAATGCTTGGCCTAAGCACATGAATTATCTTAGCCAATAAGATGGTCTCAGAAATTTTGCCTGAACCATGGATAAAACAAGCCGGTAATTATCTATCATCTATCAATCAATCTATCTATCTATCTATCTATACAGAAGTAATATGCAAATTAGGCCGGGACACTGTAATAAGTCGACTGGACAAGAGGAGTTGCAAGTGCAGCATCAGGGTCGGGCAGCAGGGGCCTCCCAGTGCCTGTGCTGGGGGAGAACCTGATCAGCAGCAGCCGTGGCTGCTTCAAGGGTGGGAGAGGGAGGCTGGACCAGACCAGCATAGGACCTGGGGAGTGAGGCAGAGCTGGACCAGCAGGCTTCGGAGTCAAAGAGCAAAGCAAAGCCACACCAGCAGGCTGTGGGGCCTGGGGAGCAAGGCAGGGCTTGTCCAGCAGTGGCCACAGGAGCTGCTGCACTATGAACCCAGGTCAGGGCTCATGCAGGAGGCAACCAATCCATGTGTCCCTCTCAGGATAATATTTGTCTGTCTTTCCCTATCTCTTCCATGTTCTCTAAAAATCAATGGGAAAATATCCACCCCAACTCTAGGGTGGGTGGTGCTGCAAGCTGGGTTCCTTAATAGTACATACAAATGCAAATAGATGGACAAAAAAGCAGAAAACAGAGACAATAGCAGCTAGGGAAAAATATAGTATACTGTTGTAAATATCTAAAAAATCTTGCAGCGGAGGTGCCTAAAGTTTGTTGGCTTCTTTGCTTATCAGTATTTCTTATATCCTACTTAAGTCTTGATGCACGAAATTTGTAAAGGATGTTCTACCATTGAACAATACTGGCAGGGAGAATGTATTTCTCCATCCAAGTGAGGGTATCTGTTGCCCCCTTGGGGGAGGGAGTAGTAGCAAGATCTGTGGAGCTGTGCCATAAAACTTCTAATGCTCTGTATGTTTCAGGAATCTCAAAGGGAAGACAAATGGCTGAATCAGTCAGCCTCTTGGACTCTTCTTTGAAGATATGATTCTTCTCCTTTGTGCCTTTGCCTTGTCATGTTCCATTTATACATTGAATTTTTACTGCTTTTAGCTTAAACATTTTTTTCCCTTTCATAAAAATCACAGGAACACCTTATGAAGTCCTCCTCTCCCCATTTCATTGCCATCAAGGCATATTTTATTTAAGAATAAAGCAATATCAAGATATCTCTTAACATTTTAAATATTCAAATGTACATTTTTATGATATTTATTTCATAAGTGTGAGCTGATAAATGACAGTCCAACTGATCATGTCATTTGAAATTAGGCTATATACCAGTAACTCGACTTTTCCATATGTTTCCATCGAAGGACATTCCCTCTATCACTTCAATTTCTCAGACAAGGGCTAGGAGCCTGGCAAGTTGATAAAGACAGATTCTGTACATGCTGGTGTGGTATTGCTACTACTATCTTCTTTCTAAAATCCATTTACATTATCAGCATTGCCTTCTTAAGCAGACAGAATTCTGACCTCCAGCACTGTGAGACAGTAAAGATGTGCTGTTGAAGCCACTCCATTACAAGCAGTAATGGGAAAGTGATACAGAGCATAAGCAGAGCACATGTCTTAGTTTCTAGTACTATTCTTTTTTTAACTTTTGCTAGCAGTTGATGCTATCGCTTTCATTGCTTTTATTATTTTTTTGTTTCAATATTCCAAAACTTTAATTTGCATTATACTAATTAATGTAGTAATTTTTTATTTTTATTCAATTTATTGTAATTTTCACTTGACATATAATTTTTTAGTTTCAGGTATAAAACAGTGATTAGACTTTTATATAACTTACAAAGTGAAGACCTCAATAAGTCCAGTACCCACCTAGCACCATACAGTTATTAAATATTATTGACTATATTCCCTATACTGTACTTTACCCCCCTGTGACTATTTTTATAACTGCCAATGTGTACTTAATCCTTTCACCTTTTACACCCATCTCTGGACCCACTCCCATCAGGTTACCATTAAGTTTATTTTTTATATCATTCGTTTTTTTAATATATTTTATTGATTTTATTTTTTATATCATTCTCTTTTTTAATATATTTTATTGATTTTCTTACAGAGAGGAAGGGAGAGAGATAGAGAGCTAGAAACATCGATGAGAGAGAAACATCGACCAGCTGCCTCCTGCACACCCCCAACCGGGGATGTGCCCGCAACCAATGTACATGCCCTTGGCCAGAATCGAATCTGGGACCTTTCAGTCCGCAGACTGACGCTCTACCGCTGAGCCAAACTGGTTTCGGCAATTAAGTTTATTTTTTAGATTCTACATATAAGTGAAATCATATGGTATTTGTCTTTCTTTGACTTATTTCACATAGCATAATAGCCTCTAGGTCCCATCCATGTTGTCAAATTGGCAAAATTACATTACTTTTTATGGCTATATGTACCACCTCTTCTTTATCCATTCATCTACAGATGGACATTTAGATAGATAAATAGCCATGATATGGAAGCTAGCTATCTATCTATCTATCTATCTATCTATCTATCTATCTATCTATCTATTTAGAAGCCCGTTGCACTAAAATTTGTGCAAGAATGGGCCTTCCCTCCCCTGGCTGCCGGCACCACCTTTGCTCTGACCCAGAGCTACCTTTCCGCCTTCCCATGCTGCCCAGAGGCCCAGAGCGGCTGGGGCAGTGCAGGACGCCTGCATTGTCCCCCAACACTGGGCTCCTTGTAGGCAAATTAACACACAATCTTTGTTGGGTTAATTTGCATACTCATTCCTGATTGGCTGGTGGGTTTCTCAAAGGTAGGGTCAATTTGCATCTTTCTCTTTTATTAGTGTAGATAGAAAAATATGCTAATTAACCAGACACCGAAATGGGTGGACCAGACAGGAGGAGGTTGAGCACGCAGCCTCAGGGATGGGATTGCAGGGGCCTCCATGTGCCTGCCCTGGGGGAGGGCCTGATCAACAATGGCCCCGGCTGCTTCAAGAGCTGGAGAGAGAGGCAGGGCCAGACCAGTAATGGCTGCTGTGGGACCCAGGGAGAGAGGTAGGGCCGGACCAGTGACTTAAGGGTGGGTGGCGCTGTGCAATTCTCACTCATAATTGTAAATAATGCTGCAATGAATATAGGTGTGCATACAGTATATCTTTTTGATTAGTGTTTTAGATTTTTTTGGATAATACTTATTGGTGGAAATGCTGGGTCACATGATAGTCTATTTCAAAATTTTTGAGGAACTTCCATAATCTTTTCCACAGTGGCTGCACCAATCTGCATTCCTATCAACAGTGCATGAGGATTCCATTTTCTCTACATCCTTTCTAACTCTTGTTGATTTACAGATGATAGCATTCTGACAAGTGTGTGATGATATCTCATTGTAGTTTTAATTTGCATTTTCCTGATGAGCATCTTTTCATATGTCTATTGGCCATCTGTATGTCCCCTTGGGAGAAATGTCTGTTCAGGTCCTCTGCCATTTTAAAAATCAGATTGTTTGGAGTTTTTTTTTTTGGTATTAAGTTGTAATGTCCTTACTTTTTTTTATATTAACACTTTATAGGATGTATCACTGGCAATTATCTTCTTCCTTCCTTTCAGTAGATTATATTTTCATTTTATTGATGGTTTCCTCTGCTGCACAAAAACTTTGTTTGATATATTCCCATTTATTCCCTCCCTGCCCCCAACTGCCTGAGAATACATACCTCCTCAAAAAAAAAAAAAAAAAAAAAAAAAAAATTAGACAGTCGTCAAAGAATGTACTGCCTATTTTCTTCTGGAGTTTTATGGTTTTAGGACTTAATTTGTCTTTAATCCATTTTGAGTTTATTCTTGTATATGATATTAAAAAGTGATCCGTTTCTTTTATTTTTTTTTTTCTTTTCTTTTTTTTCATGTATATATCTAGTTTTTTCAACATCACATAGGCATGGATTTCGGGGTTCTCTATTCTGTTCCATTGAGCTATTTTTATGCTCGTACCATGTCATTTTCAGTACTATCGCCTTGTAGTATAGTTTGAAATCAGGTAGCATTATACTTCCAACTTTGTTATTCTTTCTCAAGATTGCTTTGGCTATTCAGGGTCTTTTGTGGTTTTAAATGTAAGGATTATTTGTTCTATTTCTGTGTGTGTGTGTGGGGGGGAAGCCATTGAATCTATCTAAAGCTTGCTTTAGGGAGTATGGAAATTTTAACAGTATTAATTCTTTCTTTCCATTAGCATAGTATATCCTTCCATTTATTTGTAACTTCTTCAATCTTACAGTTTTCCAACTGCAGGTAAACTGCAGCTTTTACCTGTTTGGTTAAATTTATTCCTAAATATTTTATTCTTTTTGATGCAATTGTAAATGGAATTATTTTCTTAATTTCTCTCTCTGATAGCTCATGTTGCAGTTTTAGAATTGAATTATACAACAATTTACTTTGTCGGGAAGATTTTTAGTGTAATACATGATTTGGTAACTTTTTAAATCACAATCTCTTTACCACTTTATGCTTTCTAAAAGTCTCAAACTCTTCTGCTTCTCTAGTGTGATTAATTAATGATCCAGAAATACCAAGCAAGAGCTGGGTGGCACAAATGGCACATGCATTTCCTGGTACAAACTCAACAAGCAAATGGACTTTTTATGCCACCTTTGGATTTAATTTTTCATTTTATTAGATTTTGCTAAGTGTTTTCAAAGTTGGTTAAACATTAGAATCTATGTGTGCATCATCATTAGGAACAGCAGACATCTAACTATAGAACATTTTTTCTTAAAATCTAATTGTATATATCTTAGCAAACTCTAGGCAGTTTAGTTAACTTACACAAACTCTTTGTAACTTGATCTAGAATCTAAACACTCTTAAAGATTTCTTTCCTGGCTGCTTCATAAGTCTGTTACTTTTATACTTTAAGAAAAGAACTTACAAATTCCAAACTCACACATTCTCCAACCTGGCACTATAGAAACAAAATATTATTTTCCTTTAATCATTATATTTCAAACATCTGGTAAGCAAACATTTGTTTAAAAATAATTATAAATAGCAATATTAAATATTCCCTACAGTCATGCCAAATTGTCAACAAGCTAAGTCTAGCATAGTCTGAAGCCAGATATAGCTGTGACCACTAAGATGCATTCATGCTTTTCCTGTTCTTTCATTTCCTCCTGCAAATTCCAACTGTAATACTCTCATTTGCAAACAAGTTATATATTTTAAAATATATATATATTATTGATTTTTTTACAGAGAGGAAGAGAGATGGATAGAGAAACATCTATGAGAAATGTCGACCAGCTGCCTCCTGCACACTCCCTACTGGATATGTGCCTGCAACCAAGGTATATGCCCTTGACTAGAATCAAACCTGGGACCCTTTAGTCCGCAGGCCAACGCTCTATCCACTGAGTCCAACTGGTTAGGGTACGAGTTCTGTTTTGATTTTATTGTTTGCTGCCTACACTTTTGCCCTGCTTAATTTACTTTGCTATAGTCAGTATAAAATACTAAAATCTTGTTTCTCTCCAATCCAAAAATCTGTTCTCATTAATGGTTTGCATTTTCATGAAATCCTATTAAGACTGCAAATATTTAAGAGCCTATAATATATAAGATACAATATGTGAGAAGCTTATAAACTCATGTGAGAAAAGAAAATAGGGAAATGAAAAAGCTAAGAATGACAGACTTACATAGGAACACAGGCAAGAGGAGAGACAGGCTTGCAATGATAAAAATGGCTGTGGCGGTGCAGAGTAGGTGGAAATAAAGATGAAGTGATGTGGGAAAGAGAATATAGGTCTGTGAGGCACTGGAGAAATCAGAGATCTAATACAAATCTCTGTAAGACAAGAAGTGAATGTTCCAGATGGAAATATAGAACGAAAAGGCAGCAGCAAATACTACTCTACTGGCATTTAATTTAATCCTCACAATCATCCAATAAAACAATACATGTTAAAAATTGAGATGTAATTTGATGTGGTATTACTTTTGGGATATGACAAAACAATTTCATATACAGGAGGGCAAAAGTAGGTTTATAGTTGTTTGTATGGAAAATATAAGAAAAAATTCTTTCATTTACTCATAATTTAAACCTACTTTTGCCCACCCCGTGTGTGTATATAGTAGTGATTTCCAAGTTTTTCATCACATGGCACACATAAACTAATTACTAAAATTTTACAGCACACCAAAAAAATATATTTTTTTGCTGATATGACAAAAAAAAAGGCATAACTTTGGTTCATTCACACTAGATAACTATTGTGTTGTCATTTTTAATTTGACAGTCTAAGGAAAAAGAGATTAATGTCCTTGACTAAATAGTCAGGTATTGCATGTTTTAAACATTCTTACAGCCCACCGGCTGAAAATCACTGGTATATAGTGAAATTATCACCACAATATGTCTAATTAATATCTATTATCACACCACACAGTTACAATTTTATTTTTTTCTTATGATGAAAATGTGTAAGATCCACTAGCTCAGTAATTTTCAAGTATACAGTATGGCATTATCAATTATACTCACCATACTGTACATTATTCCGTCCTTTATTATGACTAGAAGTTTGTGCTTTTTTACCACTTTCACCCATTTGCCTACTCTTTAACCTCCAGCCTCTTGTAACCACCAATGTGTTCTCTGTATCTATGAGTTCAGTGTTCTTTTAGCTCCAAATGTAAGAAAGATCATATGTATTTGTTTCTCTCGTGTGACTCCACCTAACACCCTCACTGTCTATCCATGTTGTCACAGATGGCAAGATTTAATTATTTTTATGGCTAAATCATATTCCTTATTGTGAGTATATATATATATATATACCACTTTTATTATCAATTTACCTATGCAAGATTTAATTATTTTTATGGCTAAATCATATTCCTTATTGTGATTATATATATATATATATATATATATATATATATATCTCTTTTATTATCAATTTACCTATCAATTCATAAAAAATTAGGTTGTTCATACAGTTTGTCTACTGTAAAAGTTAGAAAGAGACCACCATATGACCCAGCAATTCCACAGCTAGGTATTTATCCAAAGAAATTTAAAACACTAATTGAAAAGATATATGCAGCATTATTTACAATAGTAAAAATATGAACACAACCTAAGTGAAAGGATAAAGAATAAGTGGTACATATATATAGAAATATGAATCATCATAAAAAAGAATGTAATTTGCAACAAAATGGATGGACCTAGACTGCTATGTGAAAAAGAAAATACCGTATGATTTCACTTATATGTGGAATCTAAAAAATAAATGAACAACAATACAGAAACAAATTCAGGCACAGGGTTATAGCATATAGCATAGGGAATATAGTGAATAGTATTGTAATGACTAAGTATGATATTAGGTGGATACTGAACTTATCAGGGCAATCACTTCAAAAGTTATATAAGTGTCCAATCACGATATTGTACACCTGAAACTAATAATATTGTATGTCAACTGTAATTAAAAAATAAATATATAAAAAGAAAATACCAGTACCTCATATAATGCTTAAAATCAATGGGTATTCAATATGTATTTACCTCATCAGCACAAGCCAATTTCTGGCTTAAATTACCATAAACCTTACATGCAATAAAAAGTTACTGAACTATCATCCTGGCTGGTAATAGCTTGTTGTTCCAGACACTCAAAGGTTGGTGATTTTATCCCTCGTCAGGGCTTATACAGGAGGCAATAAGTCAATGTTTTTCTCTCTCTCTCTGAATCAAATATGTCCTCAAGTGAGTTTAAATTAAAAAAAAGTTACTGTTGGTCCCTCTGGAACCATATCTACTTTCTTGAAAACAATTTTATCCTCTCTACATAAGATGTTTCAAAAAGAGATTCAAATAAAGTAATCTGCTATGATCCACTAAGAAAAAGTGGGAATGGCTTTAATGCATCAGAAGAGTTTATTCAGTAAGTTATTTTTTTTTAAGGTGGGTACATCCATTTCATATAAAATGAATGAAAAACTTAATTTGTAAATAACCTACCGAATCCAGGAATACTTTTGAGACTGGCTTTGAGGCACACCTTCCCCAACCTGAGATAGCTGTATCTCATCATACAATTCCACAGGAACATCCAGTCCATTCTTGTCCGATGATTCATGATAATAACACTTCTTTCTCCAGGAACAAATGCATCACCTGTTAAAATCACTTTTAGACCAAATAAGGTTTCCAGCAATGCCTATGACAAAAACAAAATACATAACAAATTAACGTTATGGTTTCCCATGAATCTTCTATATTGATCCAGAAGAATGAGATTATGAAGACACAGTTTCTATTTTTAGTTTTATTAATTTAAGTTTCTGGCAGTTTCCTAATTAAAAAATGCTAACTTTCCTGGGGTAAGTTTCCTCAAAGTGAAGGCCATAACGAGAATGAAGGCCATAATACTAAAGGAATCAATACAATAAAAGGATATAACTCTGGTAAATATATATGCACCCAATGCAAGAGTACCCAAATACACAAAAAAATGGAAGATATCAAGAGATCGACAGCAACACAATCATGGTAGGGGATTTTAATACCCCATTAACATCACTGGATAAATCCTCTAGACCAAAAAAAAAAAAAAAAAAAAAAAAAAAAAATGAGCCAAGAAACAGCAATCCTAAATGAATCACTAAATCAGATAGACTTAATTGACATCTTCAGAATATTTCACCCCAAAGCTACAGAATATACATTCTTCTCAAGTGCACATGGGGCATTTTCAAAGATAGATCACATATTGGGACACTAACAAAGTCTCTTCAAATTCAAGAAGATTGAAATATCAAGCATCTGACCAGATCACAATGACATAATATTAGAAATGAACTGCAGTAAAAACAATAAAAAAAAAATTCAAATACTTGGAGGCTTAAGTAGCATGTTATTAAACAACTAGAGGCCCGGTGCCCAAAATCCTTGCACTGTGTGTGTGGGGAAGGGGGAGGGAGGTTGTCCCTTAGCCCAGCCTGCATCCTCTCGCAATCCAGGAGCCCTCAGAGGATGTCCGACTGATGGCTTAGGCCAGACATCCTTAGCCCTGCCACGGAGGTGGGAGAGGCTCCTACCACCAGCTGTGAGCCCAGCTTCTGGCTGAGCGGCACTCCTGCTGTGGGAGCCACTGAGCACCATGGAGCAGTTCCTGCATTGAGTGTCTGCCCCCTGGTAGTCAGTGCATGTCATAGTGACTGGTTGTTCTGCTGTTTGGTTAATTTGCATATTAGCCTTTTATTATATAGGATGATTGGGTTACCAACAAGATCAAAGAAGAAATAAAAAACATCCTGGAAACAAATGACAATGAAAACACAACTATCCAAAATTTACAGGGCATAGTGAAAGCAGTCCTAAGAGGGAAGTTCACAGCATGCCAAGCCTACCAAAAAAAAACAAGAAAAACTAATAATAATCTAACTCTATAACTTAAAGAATTAGACAGAGAGCAACAAGAAAAGCACAGAGTGAGAAGGAAGGAAATAATAAAGATCGGAGCAGTAATAACTAACATAGAGACCAAAAAAAAAAAAAAATACAAAAGATCAATAAAACCAAGAGCTGGTTCTTTGAAAGGATAAACAAGATTGATGATCTCTAGCAGGTTTACCAACAAGCAAAGAGAGAGGACCCAAATAAACAAAATCAAAAATGAAAGAGGCAAAGTACAACAGACCCCACAGAAATAGAAAGGATTGTTAAAAAAAAATACTATGAACAACTCTATTCCAACAAACTGATCAACCTAGAAGAAATGGACATATTCCTAGAAAAATATGACCTTCCAAAATTCAATCAGAAAGAATTTTTTAAAAATCTGAATAGGTCAATAACTATGGAGGAAATTGAAGCAGTAATCAAAAAACTTCCAGCAAACAAAAGCGCGGGCCAGATGGCTTCATGGGAGTTTTAACATTCAAAGAAGAACTACAACCAATCCTCCTTAGACTTCCAAAAAACTCAAGAGTAAGGCACACTTCCAAGCTCTTTCTATAAAGCCAGCATCACCCTAATCTCAAAACCAGGTAAAGAAACTACAAAAAAAAAAAATAATAATAATAATTATAGGCCAATATCTCTGATGAACATAGATGCTATAATACTCAATAAAACCCTATAAAACCAGATCCTGCATTAGATTAGAAAGACCATACACCATGACCAAGTGGGATTTATTCCAGGAATGCAAGGATGGTACAATATCTGCAAACCAATAAATGTGATACATCCCATAAACAAATTGAGAGATAAAAATCACATATAATCACACCAATCAATATAGAAAAAGCATTTGACAAAATCCAACACCCTTTCTTGATAAAAACTCTCAGCAAATTGGGAATAGAGGGATCATACCTAAACGTAATAAAAGCCTTATGTGACAAATCTACAGCCAACATCATACTCAATGAGCAAAAACTAATATCATTTCCCCTTAAAACAGGAACAAGGCAGATATGTCCACTCTCATCACTCCTGTTTGACATACTACTGGAAGTGCTAACCACAGCGATCAGACAAGAAGAAAAAATAAAAGGCAACCAAACTGTAAAAGAAGTAGTAAAACTGTCATGATATTGTACATGGAAAACCCTAAAAACTACATAAAAAAACTAGACTTAATAAATGAATTTGGCAATGTAGTAGTCTACAAAATTGACATCCAGAAATCCATGGCTTTTTTATACACCAACTACAGGCCCGATGAATGAAATCCGTGCGAAGGGCTCAGTCCTCACAGCCCCATCTTTTTATCATTATAGATAATGCACTCACAGAAAGAGAAACTAAAAATCAACCCATTTACAAACACTGCACAAAAAAAAAAAAAAAAAAAAAAAAAAAAAAGATACCTAGGAATAAACTTAACTAAGGAGGTAAAAGACCTGTACTTGGAAAACTATAGGACGTTGAAAAAAGAGATAAAGGAAGACAAAAACAAATGGCATGTTCATGGATTGGTAGAATCAAAATCATTAAAATGTCCATATTATCCAAAGCAATCTACAGATTCAATGCAATCCCCATTAAAATACCAACAGCATATTTCACAGATCTAGAACAAACTCTCCAAAAAATTTATATGGAATAAAAAAAGACCCCGAATAGATGCAGCAATCTTGAGAAAGAACAACAAATTGGAATACCAGATATGATGCTGTATTACAAAGCCACTGTTCTCAAAACTGCTTGGTATTGGCACAAGAACAGATATATAGGTCAATGGAATAGAACAGAAAACCTAGAAATCGACCCAAGCTATTATGCTCAATTAATATTTCACAAAGGAGGCATACAATGGAGTCAAGACAGTCTCTTCAATAAATGGTGTTGGGGAAAATTGGACAGATACATGCAAAAAAAGTGAAACTAGACCACCAACTTACACCACACACAAAAATAAACTCAAAATGGATAAAGGACTTAAACGTAAGATGGGCAACCATAAAAATATTAGAGGAATTTACAGGCAGCAAAATCTCAAGACATATGCCAAAACAATAACTTACTAATATACTCCTAGAGCAGTGGAAACTAAAGAGAAAATAAACAAATGGGACTACATCGCAATAAAAAGCTTCTGCACAACAAAAGAAACCATCAACAAAACAACAAAAAAGCCCACTGCATGGGAGAACATATGTTCTCCAATGTTATATCCAATAAGGCCTAATCTCCAAAGTTTGTGGGGAATTCATCCATTTTAACAAAAGGAAGATAAAAAATCCTATCAAAAAATAGGCAAAGGACATAAATAAACACTTTTCAAAAGTGGACATATAGAAGGCTCACTTTCATAAGAGACATATAAAAATATGCTCAAAGTACATGAAAGACACAAATCAAAATGATAATGAGATATCATCTCACACCTGTCAGAATGGCTATCATCAACAAATCAATAAGTAACAAGTGCTGGCAAGGATGTGGAGAAAAAGGAACCCTCAGGCATTGCTGGTGAGAATGCAGACTGGTGCAGCCACTGTGAAAAAACAGTATGAAGTTTCCTCAAAAAATTAAAAATGGAACTCCCATTTGATTCAGTAATCCTACTTCTAGAAATATGTCTTAAGAAATCAAAAACACAATCAGAAAGGACATATGGCCGAAACCGATTTGGCTCACTGGTAGAGCATCGGTCTGCGGACTGAAAGGTCCTAGGTTCGATTCCGGTCAAGGGCATGTACGTTGGTTGCGGGCACATCCCCGGTTGGGGGTGTGCAGGAGGCAGCTGGTCGATGTTTCTCTCTCATCGATGTTTCTAGCTCTCTATATCTCTCCCTTCCTCTCTGTAAAAAATCAATAAATTATATATATTTTTTTAAAAAGGGACATATGCACCCCTATGTTCATAGCAACACAATTTACAATAGCTAAGATTTGGAAACAGCCTAAGTGCCCATCAGCATATGAGTGGATTAGAAAACTGTGGTACATCTAAGCAAGGGAATACTATGCTGCTGTAAAAAAGAACTCATACCCATTTACAACAGCATGGATGGATATGGAGAGCATATGCTAAGTGAAATAAGCCAGTTGGAGAAAGATAAATATTACATGATCTCATTCATTTGTGGAATATAATGAACATCATAAATTGCTGAACAAAAACAGATCCAGAGACACAGAAGCATCGAACAGACCATCAAACCTCAGAGTGAAGGCAGCAAAGGGGAGAGGGAATAAGAGATCAACCAAAGGACTTGTATGCATGCATAAAGGATAACCAATGGACACAGACACTAGGGAGGTGAGAACATGTGCTGGGGGAGAAGGGGGGGAACGGTGGTGGCTGGGGAGAAGTCAATGGGGGGAAAAGTAGACATATGTAATATTATATGTAATACTTTAAGCAATAAAGAATTAAGAACAAAAAAATGTTAACTTTCATTAGAATCTTGAATATACTAAGTTAAAATAAAAAAGGCATACAAGATTCCACTGTGTAATTTTTAAGGCTATAAATATATGACTAGATGCCCGATTCAGAAATTCATTCAAGGGGCTAGACCCTCGCAGCCCCAGCTTTGTCTAAAAGGTTGTTCAGCTGTCTGGTATAATTAGCATATTAAGCTTTTATTATTATAGATTATTACTTCTTTTATAGAAAGGATAGTCAACAAAGTCAACCCTGGGTAAAGGGACAAAAAGTCAAGAATTTTTTTTCATACAAATACACATATCTTTTTAACA